GTTTGCGTTAATCAGGTGGTGGTGGCCTGGGATGGTATCAAAATTCCTGGCCTGGATTATTGTCCCAGTCCGCCCCTGTTCTTAATCCAACAAAGTTGGCTGGTCCTCTGGATGATTTCTTTTTGTTGAAACATTTCATCTTTCATCCAAGACTTCATCAGTACGAGGAGCTGCAACAAACTCAGTCTTGTAAATAAATAGCACCTTCTCATAGTGGGTCAACCAGTTTGATTGTGCTCAGATATTTTCTGTAGTCACCCTCTCCCCCACTGACTTGGTTGAGGCACTCATGGCCGAAGTGGTTCAAAACATCCATTCTTAAGTTTTCTGATTTCCTTCTTAAAAGCTTTCTTGCTTCCATATCATCATGTGGATCATAAAACATGTAGTTTATTGTCCTTTAGATGTCTTTGTATCTCATCTGCTTGTTAATAGAACCAATCTTCACTTTTTCTTTCTAAAGACATGTTTGGCAGCATGCTGAAGTCCTTTCTTCAGATCATCCGAGGATTCTTCTTTGCAGCTTGGGAGCATATCTTCCAAGAAGTGTATCGACTTCTCTTTCTTTTAAACATTCAGTGTGGTACCTTGTTTAGATAGAGGTTTGTTTTTTTTTCTTTCTTTGCTTCTTGAGCACAAAACAGCGTTATGTGATGAGAAGTTTATGGTCTGTAAAGCAATCTGCTGCAGAGTCAATCTTTGTCACTTTGATAAATTGTCTGGCTATTTTGTTAGCTAGCACATGGCCAGTTTAGTGCCAGTGCTTTGAGTACAAATGTTGCAAGATATTCGTAAGGTAGTTCTTGAATTTGAACATCATTCTTGTTAATGAGGTCAGTGTGCAAAATCTCAATAGCATTAACCCATTCATCCTGATGCATGCTCAATAATCCAGGTATAAAAATCCAAACAAGTTCAATCTGGTCCTCTGGACATTAAAAAAAAAAAGAAAAAAAAAAAGAAAAAAATATAGATATGTTTTGTCTCTCATCCAAGAGACTTCCTCAGTCTGAGGTGCTGTATTCAGCTCAGTCTCTTAAATAGCACCTTCTCAGAGTGGATCAACCAGTTTGCTGCTGACAACCAAAACCAGTTGCTCACATGGTCAAGAAGGACCATCAGCCTAACAATGGATCATTAGCACACTGATGGCTGTTTACTATTCACAGGGGGTTGAGTGATACCAGCGATAACAGCATTGTAAGAGGGGGACAGTTGAACCCGGAGGCCTCCACCCCTGTTTAATGATGGACGATTCCTTTTCACAAAGATGGCCTCCTTTACTCCTCTCTCAGTGCTATTTAAGGTGCTATTTAAGAGACTGAGCAGAATACAGCACCTCAGACTGAGGAAGTCTCTTGGATGAGAGACAAAATGTTTCTATATTTTTTTGCTGTTTTTTTTTTTTTTTGAATGTCCAGAGGACCAGATTGAACTTTTTTGGATTAACCCATTCATTTCATCTTGCTCGTTCCATGCCTTCCACTGACTGAAGGCAGCAACAACCACTCTTTCCCAACAAGTGCATTTAAGTCATCCAAGAGAATTATGTTGTTTCCTTAGGCACTGACAATACTATCACCAAGTCTCTCCTAAAAGTTCTCCTTTTCAACTTGTCGAGCATATCGAGTAATAACCACACAGAATATGTAATGTCACATCAATACATAGAGTATGTAAAGTCACATTAACATGTACAATACGTAATGTCACATTAACAAGCAGAGTATGTAATGCCATATATACAGGTAGAGTATGCAATGTCTTAAAAACACGTAGCATATGTAATGTCATATAAACACATCATCGAGAATGATTGCTAAACAGAAACAGCTGTTATAGTGAACTTACCTCAAATTTTCCCCTTTTATCTTGTGGCTCGACTTGGATCTCATGGAACATTGTTGCATCGCTCTTCGGGACCCCCTCCCCCTCCATTTCCTCCACTATCATCACAGTTTCCCACTTCCCAAAGGTGGTAGCAGGAAAAATGTCTGACCTCATGCTGTCACCAAAATATGCCACCTATGGGGTCAGAAGGACAAAAACCCAGCTTAGTTTTAATTGGCCTGCAAATGTGCAGAATTCTGCTCCTATCAGCAGCTAGACATAGTCCATCTCCCACCCCTTACCACCTGCTGCTCAGAGCTTGTCTATTAGCTCTGTGGCCAAGAGAAGAAAAGTTACTACAGTTTTTTGCCATATTATTAAAAGAGAAAATGTGTCAACTGTCTGCATGTATTTTTTGTTTTGTAGCAAATAACCTAGTCAATCTTGAGTGGTTGCCTAGCTGAACTTTCTCGTCACCATTACAGATCAAAGCAACACCATCATTACTGAGGATGAGGTGCCAGTTTGTTGATCCATCTCCCGCTCTTTCCAATCATCACACGTGAACAAGATTCACAGTTACTAGAACTCTGCAGCCTGAGACACAAATAGTAGGTATCCCCAGTCTGGAGAGAGCATGTTACCTGTTTCAAGTTGATACATGGCTTTGGATTCAGAGGAACTGTTCCAATGCCCAAATGAGATCATGATCCAAAGATGCTAACAGAACTACATAATCCACAAAGAACAGAGTGAGACTGTGAGGTGGCCAAACATGATACTCACCTTTCCATGACTTGAATTCAAATAACCTTTCTGATACTTATATTGCATGTACAAATGTAAAAGTTGGTTTACATACTATCAGGAAACCTAACCCCCAAAAATGGAAATGGGGGCACTTCCCTGGAGCCATGGTGAGAAGTTCATTAATGAATGTCTGGTGATTGTGCCTTGGCTCATGGAGCTTGGATGGGCCAAACCCGAAGGAATGAATGGATTCCACCTTCACATGGACCCACCACCTGTGAGGACTATCAAGGTTGGTTACTTGTTACAGATGCTGGGTGGCAGGTGAGGAAGGGTCCCTGGCCTTGTTGATTCCTGTTTGCATAGACTAGCACTAGAAATATGGAGCATCACCACACTGGTGGATAAGGAGCCAGAGCTTGTGTTTGAGGTTGAGCAAGACTAATATGTTAGGCCCGAGGAGCAAAGTGCTGCGAAGGCCTATTGCAATCGCTTTGTTCAGGCCCGAGCTGCAATTTTTTTCCGCCAAATGAATTTGCTTTTTAGGGGCCTTAGCATATCCCAAAAGTCACCAAATTTGGCAGACGCATCAGGACTGGTGAAAAATTACATATTTTAAGGGCGTGGCAAAAATTGCAACAGAAACGGCTCAAGAGCGCAACCTACAAATTTTCAAAATGCCCTCCGCTTTAACCTTAGTTGGTCATAGAAGCATGAAATTGGGTACGCTTGTCCAATTCCCCAAGATGCACAGAAAACCCTCTGGCACCAATGTTGTACGATAAACAGGAAGGCGGCCATTTTGGAATGCCGGCCAATTTTTCACACCTTTTTAGCGGTTTACAGCCTCCGCATTTGAACAAATTCCTCTTGGGGATTTCGCTCAATCAGTTTCAAACTTGGCCATTTTGGTCAAAAGGCATGGGAGACGCAAAGTTATCTAAACAGTTTGTTTCGGAGAATGCTGAAGGGGCAGGGCCAGACCTAAAAGTTTGACATCTCGCCATGAAAAACAAAATGCTAATAGCTCCTACACTAAAACTGTCTGAGACGAAAAAACCTTCAGTGATTGATCCACATCCAGACCCCTGGAAGAATGAATGGTCAAATCATGACATCAATTAAGACATGCCCCCAGACAACAGGAAGTATAAAGTTTTATGTTGAACGATCCCTATCTGACCCCTGTTACCTAATCAGCATGATAGTGTGTCCAATGACCCAAGACATGTTGGTATAACTTGCTTTCCAACACTGACAGTTTTGGGTGGAGCATGTGGACGCCACGGTGTGGTGAAGTAAGACATAACACTGTCACCATACATTTGGCTCTAAATTCCACAGTTTTGAACTGAGGTGCACCAAAATCAGTATGATCGATCATTATCCACCCCTTGAACAGGAAGCCATGATAAGTGGCCAACAGCCTCCAAAGCCACTTAGAATAATTTTAAACCCAAGTCCCAAGCCATTTTTGGACAGATAATTCTGAAACTCGGTGAATATCTGTATCTTCTCAGAAACTATGAGAAAGTCTCTTGGAGCCCTGGTCCAAAAACAACAGGAAGTCGGCCATTTTGGATCACAGGGTCATTTTTGGTCATTTCCAATTGAGAATTTTAACAAACTCCTCCTAGGAATTTTGAAAGATTGCCTTCAAACTTAGTAGATTTGCCCTTAAGACATTGGAGAGTAAAAGTTATCTAAAGCTTGTGTTTTTGGATATGTTAAAGGGGCGTGGCCAGGCCTCAAAGTTTCGCTTCATGCCATAAATTTCCAAATACTAGAACTTTCACATTGAAAGACCGAAATGCACTAAACTTGGCATGACTGTTGGATGCCCGACGATCCACAGTGGTCATATTTTGATGTAATCAAAGCCCCGCCCCCTCAGAACAGGAAGTCTCTTTTTCAACTTGGAATGCTCCTTCTTTGACACCATTGACCTAATCAGGATGACCCTGTGTTAGAAGACAAGTAATATGGTCTAACTTGATTTAAAGCGCAAACCGTTTTTGCTTGAGGATATGGGCGTGGCGAATTCAGAAATGACGCTGTTTCAATAAGTATGGCTCGAAATTGCACAGATTTCAGCCGAGGTGAACCAAAATCACTTTGATTGATCATTATCCACCCCTTGAATAAGTTTCCATGATAATTGGTCAATAGCCTCCACAGCGCCCCCTACATCATTCCTACAGTTATAGCTCAGTGATACAAGATCTGAGCCACACCAGATTTATTGTGCGTCATCAGTGAGGACCTTTACACACAATGATATTGTGGTTTAACATATGACTCTAGTGCGCCCCTACATTATGCCAACAGTTATATCTCAATGATACATCATCTTATATGCACCAGATTTTTGGTGCATCATCTGTGAGCATTTCGAGACACATTGGTATTGTTGTTTAACATTTGACTCCAGTGCACCCCTTACATTATTCAAACTGTTATATCTCAATGATATATTATTCGATCTGTACCAAATTTTTTGTGCGTGATCAGTGAGCACTTCTACATACATTTGTGTTGTTATTTAACATTTGACTTGAGTGTGCCCCCTAGATTATTCCAAAAGTTATATCTCAATGATATATCATCTGATCTGAACCAGATTTTGGGGGTGTCATTAGTGAACACTTCTAGACACATTGATATTGTTTTTTAACTTTTGACTCCAGTGCACCCCTAGATTATTCCAACAGTTATATTTCAGTGTAATATCATCCGATCGGAAACATATTTTTGATGCATAGTCAGTGAGCACGTCTAGACACATTGATATTGTGGTTTAACATATGAATCAAGTGCACCCCCTAGATTATTTAATCAGTTATATCTCAGTGATATATCATCCAAGCTAAGGCAGATTTTGGGTACGTCATTAGTGAGCACTTCTAGACACACTGGTATTGTTGTTTAACTTTTGACTCAAGTGTGCCCCCTAGATTATTCCAACAGTTAGATCTCAGGGAAATATCATCCAATATGTACCAGATTTTATGTGTGTGATCAGTAAGCACTTACAGACACAATGGTATTGTTCTTTAACATTGGACTCAAGTGCACCCCCTACATTATTCCAACAGTTGTATCTCAGTGATACATCATCCAATCTGAACCTAAGTTTTTGCGCTTCATCATTGAGCACTTGTAGACACATTGGTATTGCTGATTCATGATATCACTTAAGCCCAACCTACTCAGAGAAAAAACTGTTGATTATTGGATGACACTTCCAGCTTCACACTGTGTAAGATATTAGACTGAAACTTTGTTTGCTAACTGTTGATTACCACATGACATGTTGAAAAGCATAAAGGAAGTGCTTGTCAAACATTCGCCACAAAACAGGAAGTCACCATAACTCCTGTCTGGAAGGTCAGATTTCACCTATACTTGTAAGACCTGCAGCTGGACAAGTAACAAGATGGACAGAAGGCCATGTCAAAGATTCAGGAAATGTGTCCCGTGGTGAATGCATGCAGGATTGGCATGACAGTGTTCGTGATGGCGTCTGGGTGGACTAGCTGGAGCTCACGCAGTCGCCGTAAGGCCGGAGCGGCGCTTTGCTGCAAAGGCCTCCAATGCTGCTTGCAGCTTTAGTTAGGCCCGAGCAGCAAAGTGCTGCGAAGGCCTATTGTAATCGCTCTGCTCAGGCCCGAGCTACAATTTTGTCCGCCAAATGAATTGGCGTTTTGGGGGGCCTTAACATATCCCAAAAATCACCAAATTTGGCGGACGCATCAGGACTGGTGAAAAATTACGTATTTTAAGGGTGTGACAAAAATTGCAACAGAATCGGCTCAAGCGCACCACTTAGAAATGTTCAAAATACCCTCCGTATTAACCTTAGTTTGTCGTAGAAACATGAAATTTGGTACACTTGTCCAATTCCCCAAGATGTACAGAAAACCATTTGGCACCAATGTTGTATGATAAACAAGAAGGTGGCCATTTTGGAATGCCGGCCCAATTTTCACACCTTTTTGGCGGTTTACAGCCTCCGCATTTGAACGAACTCCTCCTAGGGATTTCGCTCAATTGGTTTCAAACTTGGCCATTTTGTTCAAAAGGCATGGGGGACGCAAAGCTATCTAAACTTTTTTTTTGGAGCATGCTGAAGGGGCGGGGCCAGACCTCAAAGTTTGACATCTCACCATGAAAAACAAAACGCTAATAGCTCCTACACAAAAACTGTCTGAGACATCAAACCTTCAGTGGTTGATCCACATCCAGACCCCTGCAAGCCTGAATGGTCAAATCATAACATTGCTTAAGCAACGCCCCCTGACAACAGGAAGTATAAAGTTTTACGTTGAATGATCCTTATCTGACCCCTGTTACCTGATCAGCATGATAGTGTGTCCAGTGACCGAAGACATGTTGGTATAACTTGCTTTCCAACACTGACAGTCTTGGGTGGAGCAAGAGGGCAT